TTTTCAAGCTTTTGTTTTAAGATGATAATACTTACAACAAATTAAAAATATATGTACTCGAATCTGTGAATAATATTAAAAGTGTTCACTATAAAGCAGAAAATCGATTTGCAATCGGTTTTGACAGACTGTAGCCGGTAGATAACTTTATCTATCGCAGCTACAATTAGTCTATAGTTAAAAACTTTTAAGTTAAATTAGTCATATTTATTTTCATTATAAAGTGAATATGTGTTTACTCATATATGGAGCTAGAAAATCAATATTTTTGTATATTCAAACAATGAAACTTCAATCACATATTGAATATATATATAACATATATATGTATATACATTCTAACATGCACTTACGTTATATACGTACTATATTTATATTGCAGATATCGCAATATAAAACCAAATCTGTTAAAGCATTTCATTGACGTCAAAATGCATTAAGTTTTTCAAGAGTCTCAGCTGCTCAAATTATCCTTTAAAGACATTGTCTTCATTACTGTCAAGGTATTGACTTCATTAGACAATTACACAAACAACGGTTCACACTGCATATATATAGTAAAACATAATTAAAAATACAATAATAATAAAAAGCACTTTTTTTTCGGCTTGCGGATGCTATGCAAGACATTGGATGCATCGAGCCGTCACAATGTGTACGCAAAATGTTTTTAAATAAATTTTAACACATTTATTCGATAATGTCTGCAATAAACAATCTGTCTGCTCTTTAATACGATGGATTAAACCGTTTTCAACCAGGTACTTAAGGTTACAGACATAAAGAAAAAATTTGGTACTACTAACTATATTGTGCTAAGATCATTTTTATGTCGAAATGCTATAATTAACACAACACTCAAGGAGTTTTCGAATTATCTAAGAAAAACTCAGATTTTTGAATTAGTTTTTAATTTTAGGTTTAACGAAAATTTTTATTAGAAATTCGTCTTCTTTAAAAAAAAAACAAATACTCTCTTTTAAGAGTCATACACTCATTCCAACACTTCTAAATCTTTCGATAGGTAATATTTCGAATAGTTTCAGAACGTTGCTTTAAAAATAACTGGTTATATTGCGAAATAAAAAACCAACATTTATATTATACATTTATAAAACCTTATTTAAACGTATTAAACTTTAATTAAATACTTTTATAAATAAAGAAGGTATAACAGTTTTACTTATTCTGATCAGTTTGTATATTAGTTATAGCATAAAATCATCGATACTCTGTCCTATTAATAAACGACCAATTTTCGCTTCTAAACATTCCACATATTAAATTTGAAGTATACATTTTAAAAACGCAAATAATAGTTTGTTTTGAAATGGACAAAATGTCGAACGTCACTACTCTAATACACTTGTCAAACTAATAAAGAATATATACGAATGTACTACAAAGAATATGCAATGTCTACATAGGATTAAAAATATAAGATGGACTTATTATAGCTGACCAGACGGAGTGCTTCAGGTTATCACTTGGAACACCAAAACATTTTGGCGTATCCCTAAATACCATTTTAAGTTTTGCTAAAAGTTCTGGATAGTTTTTAAACCTCTGAGTTTCTTATATAGTAACATAATGGATTAATCAGCTTAAGTGGATCTTAAGGATTGCCAGTATAAGCTAACATAACATTTTATAATATCTTTATTTTATGTATAAGAAAAAGTGTTAAGAACTTTCAACTAAGATCTTATTGTAATATTTAGTATGTGATGTGTATCATTTCAGACTATACTCCTACTTTATATTATTAACAATCTTGACAATTTTAATATCTGGACTTTAATAAATTTATTTAATTGTTTTTAATTAATTTAATTAAATTAAATTTATTTATTTTTTATTTAAATTTATTTATTTAAAAATATTTAAAAAACAAAGTGAATAAATAAATTTTTTAAAGACTTACCGAAAGTTGAATACTAAAATTGCAATTCTTAATAAAGAAGTGTATTTATATACATATATAACATATGCATGTAAATGCAGTGTATGTTAGCATTTAAATAAAATCATTTTTTATCACTCATATAAACATCTAAACAAATTTAAGTTACTTTACTTTAATCACTAAATTTATATAGAGAGATCAAGAAACTTTTTATTTACTAATTCACAAATTATATTAACTAAGAAAACCCGGTATAATTTTTACGAATATAATTACTTTGAACATTACAAAGGTTGAACCGATCACTGAATATTACATATTACTAAGCTTAAACTAAAAAAAAACAAGAAAACAATTTTTAACAGTTAATAAATATGAAATATATACATATATATATTATAAAAACGTCGCGTTCAAAAATGTAATAAACATCTTTGCTGAATGCCGGGCGAAGAGAGACTAAATGTTGTGATTTTAAAATTTTAAACAAATTCCTTTTTTCTTATCATCAAAGCAAGAATATCAACAACGGTTTTAGAAGATAACACTCGACTAACTACATATGAACGTCGGCGACAATTTTTTCATATTCCAGAGTTGTAAAGTAAATGTGATCATTTATTCACTTTTACATATGAGACATGGAAGAATATATTATTTTTATTAATTAATAAATTTTAACCCCAGCATTGTAAGTTTTAAAGCTCTTGATAGCTTTCGAAGAAATATCAAAGTCATTATTATTTTACGATCTTGTACAAAACAATATTTTCGCTTTATACGGTCTTTGCGGATACGCTCTCGGGATCTTTGCATACACGATCTTTGCATACACGATCTTTACATACACGATCTTTGCATACACGGTATTTGCACATATGACCTTTTCCTATACGATCTTCACATACACGATCTTTGCATATACGATATTGCATACGATCTTCGCATACACGTTCTTTGCATATATAATCTTTGCACGCCAATTTGTTTAAGCATCCAGTAATGTTAAACTGCAGGTCTGTATTATTAAGATTATCATACAGTTCTGCGCAAAATACAGCAATATCAAAGGGAAATAACATAAAAAAAAGGAATGTCTTGATTAATCAATTTTATTCTACTAAAAAAGTATTAAATTAAAAAAAAAATAACTTAAATTTTGTTCTTAATATTAATTATTTCGCATATCAAAATATATTTCAAGTCGAAAACTTAGGTTAGGTAGTACCAGCGATCTTAAAGGATCCACTTAGACCTATTAGCCCATAGTGTTACCGTATTAAAGAAAAACTTAGAGATTTAAAACCACCTTGAACCTTTGGCAAAGCTTAAAATGCTATTTAATGGAACGTCGTGCAGTTGATTAAGATCCTGCAGAAAAAACAAAGCAGATGAGAAGCACTTCATGGTCCTCTCCGCAACTGCAACAGGTATAATTGAGACGGAGCTTCAAACTTAAATCATTATTTTCTAATCTCCAATGACTGTAAGTAAACCTACCACAAGACTGATATCACCACAGGGTATCTAAATGAGAGAATTTCTTTTTAATGGCCCGTGGCCAATGTGCATACATATGCCTACATGTTATTGAGTCTTTCCATCTTTTATCAAAAAGATTAGCATAGAAAAAACTCAGTGACAGTTGGTATATCAGCGATATGCCTAGATTGTTTAGCAGTTTCGAGTAAGTTCCTGAAGAACCACTCGTAGTTAGCACGTCTGCTTTGCAATTACCGAAATTGAAAACAACTGCATATAAATTTAAGCTCATTTCGTCGTTTAAATAATATTCTAAAAGTTTGATAAAAATAAATATTGAAGTCTAACAATAACAATATTTCTCCATTACCTAAAAGACTTTCTTTTAAAAACAAAACATATAGTAAAATTTCAATAATTTGTTATTGAAATCAAGCCAGTGTAATGCGAATCCAACTAGATGTCGCATTGTGCTGCTAAAAACCTGATCGTCGCGACTCGAATCTTCTCTTTCTTGAACGTAAAATTTTATAGTAAAATATAGTAAAATTTTAATTACTTGTTATTGAAATCAAGCCAGTGTAATGCGAATCCAACTAGATGTCGCATTGTGCTGCTGAAAACCTGATCGTCGTGACTGGAATCTTCTCTTTCAAGAGCGGTATCAACTAAGTTTACCACCTTACTGTACTTCTGTATGTAAGCAGTTCACATGATATCGTACAGATGGAAGACACCAAATAGTTTTACGACTATTTAAAAGTATTTGGAAAGTACTTTTGCCCTAAAATATAAAACTTTTTCTTCGGATCTGCATATCCGAAACTACACTCTGAAAAATATTTTCGTTGACTTGACCAGATTTTAACTATATCTCAGATCGAAATATTTTTACTCAACGCATCAATATTTGTTTCAAACATACCACATGTTGCTTTTTATCTTCTTCTTTACCACGAGAGTTAAAATTTTTCTAACAAAATAATCAGGTCTATTTAACTAATATGTGCTAAGAACATATTGTTCTGAGTGTTATACCACTGTAGAGGTTTCATGGTGACATTTCTGTTTCTTAATCACATCTGACAAAGAAACCTGCGAACACATCCTGTAAATATCGTTAATCGATTTTTCCGTTTAGCAAATCATCCTGATTACGACTGTTTGCAGACAGATTTAGTTTAAAAAGCGTATACAATGACGTCTTACCTTCACTGTAACTGTTTTTGGTGAATCAGTTTGATGATATCGCATTGTGGACTCAGTTTATATATAAATTTTTCATATTAAAGATTGAACTCTAAATATACGAAACACCATTTTCATGCCTGTAATATTTACATCTAAAATTTATTGATATATATATTAAACTTTTATTGATATCACATAGTAATTATGTTTTCGATTACATTTAATTTTATATATTAAGTAGCATAGTTATAAATGGTACATTTGAAAATAATTTAAGAAAATGTTTTTGTACAATAAATAGTAAAACTAAAACTAAAAACGTAACTTAAATAAATAAAAAATATTTTTAAATTATTTTATTAATATATATTTATATATAAAGATATAAAAGATTTTTGTAACATATAAAAATTATTTTTTGGGATATTCCCTTGACAGTTTGGCCTGCCATCCTGTTGCGGGTGGGTGTGATTCCTGGAATGAAATAAAGTAAATAATTAAAATCAAGAGAACAATTAATCTTAAAATAATTATTTATTATATTATAATTTAAAAATATTGTTTTAAGTTTTGATTATCTATAAAATATCTTTGCTCGCTTTCAATAAAATAAGGATCAATATCCTTGATAGTTCTCTCTGGGTTAAACTGAATTAAACTTTAACCTTGTTGCAATAATACCATTCAACGAGTTCTTAAGTTCTCAAGTATGAACTACAAATTCAACATAGAATAGTTAATTATATATACTTTAAATATTAAAGAAGATATATGTTTAAAAAAGAAAAAGAAGTGTTTGGCAATCCGACAATCCGCAATAAAACGAAACTGCTGTGTGGTCAGTCAAAAATTTAATTAATTAATAAATAATAAAATTTTGTTGTTGTTGTTTCCTACTGTTCAATATGACTAGTATGTTTGACGAGGCCCTATGCTTCAATGGGAGATGAAAATAACAGAAGAAGAAGTATGTTTGACACTTAAAATTCTATTTCATAAACTTTATTTTAGTTGTGTTGTTTAATAATATATATACGTGTATATATATAATTTGTTGACTTACATAAAATCGTACAAAGTTACGTAGACATAAACTGCGGTGAGTTCATAACGTAAGCTTAATGAACTTCCTTCAGGATACACTTACAACAGGACGGCACTTTGAACTGATCTGTTACAACAGTGCCATTTGGAGTGATGGCTACCAGTGCACGATAGATATGATTTTGCTTACAGGTTGCCTTCACACCATTCGGTAGGGAATCGGAATACTTGCATTTGCTACCTTCATTCCTAAAATCAAAAGTACTGGTTATATTTGCCTGTGTATGTTTTGACCATAAAAAATACTTACGAACATAGCTCCACACGTAGTCCCTGCTTAAATTTGTCATTATCATTTACTATGAACAATAATTCGTTATTTTTTGAGAGTTGCGCTTTTGGAAATATAATTTTCTCTTCGCTAGTACAGAAGAAACTCTCATCTGGACCGATATTTATGCGTTGTTGTACATTTTGAGGTTGCACAAGCTCATCCGAAAAGAAAAATTGAAGTTTGGAAAATTCATCCAATAATTTTGATTCGAAATTACTCAAATCAGGATAATTGCGAACTTCCGTACAAAATGGCTTAGCAGCATGTAAGTCATCCTTACATGTAGGTGTATCGCTACTGGGTGGATCTTTGAAGATTATTGCTGCAATTGTTAAGCAGACATTAATATATGTTAGGTTAGTAAATAAAACTGTGCTTACGTCCTTGCTGACTTCTAGGTGGATGAGCCAGAATAGGTTCCTGTGAATGTAAAGTATTATTAAAAACCAAATCTAATTTACCATCAGATGTTCTTTGCACCTTGAATGACGGTATTTGCTGAGTTGATCTCTCAACAAAAAGTGGATTAATGTGAGTGTCATGATTTCTCGGTGATTTATAGCCACTGAATGTTCTCTATAAATTTAAAAGCATTTAAGCGTATGATGAACAAATTAGTCAAATGTATTTTAGTAACCCTAGGCGATGGTTAAAAACTTACATTAAATATTATAATACCATTCGAGCTATTGTCTGTTACAAATATATTTGATATTAGAGTATCTACATTTGTTAGATTAGCATTATTAGATCTGTTTAATGCTTGTCGATTTGGAGATTGTAGTCGCTGTTGTTGCTGATGTGAAATGAAGCGATAATTGTCTGTTTCATCTTCCATAACATTATTTATGTTCTTAGTCTTATATTCATTGGGATTTATATAAGAAGATCTTATGTGCCGCGAAAGTAATAAGTCACTAGACCGACAAACTATCTGAAACAAACACACACAAAAACGATATACACATAAAAAGCATGTTACCAAAAAAAATAATGAAAAGTTTTAAATTTATTTGACAAGAACTCCCTGGTCTGTAGTGGTGTGAAGAAATCGCTGGAATATACAACTCGATGAGATAAAAATTAAAAATATTTATTTTAGCTTTTATTGTCATCCATTATACGTCAGCACTTTGCATCCATAATTTATAAATTAAGACATTGTTAAGTATATGTACAATATAATTTATGCGGTACCGAGAAAAACCTCAAAGTCACAGATACTTAAAGTCCGCCATAAAATAATGTTTATAAGCAATTATAAATTGCATTTTTCTACACAATCAAGTAACGTATACGCCCCTTAATCCGCTCATTATAATCACAAGCATTGGGGTCTATTTATTTATTTGCCCTTAATTGAAGTCAAAAGAAGATAAAAATTTAATCAAAAGTATTTTATTTTGTGGTTACCGCTGAAAGGTTCTTGACACAAAGAAACAATTACATGTAGGGAAAATTATAAAATTAATTGTAGGTTGGAGATAAAAAATATAATAGAAGTTTTCGCAAAAATAATAAATCTAATACATCTAAAACCAAACCACAAAATGCCCACCGAACTAAAAACAATAGAAGTAAAATGGGACTTCCATATCAGTCGAAAACGCTTCAATGAATTATATCACACATTATAAAAAATTTTACATTATATAAAATTTTAATTCAAATATGAAACCTTTATAAAAAGGTAGATTGTTTGAAGATAAATCTAAAGATATATAACACAGGGTAAGGACACTGGCTAAACAGCTATT